GCTCCAAGGGGATGCTATTTAACCTTCAATGTACTTGGGTAGGAGCCCTGGCGGCACAGTGGTTAAGAGCTACAGCTGCTAACTAAAAGGTAAGCAGTTCAAATCCACCAGCCACTCCTTGGAAACCCTCTGGAGCAGTTCTATGCTGTCCTATAGGGTCACTATGAGTCCGAATCAATGGAAACGGGTTTGGTTTGTTTTTTTTCTGGTCCTTGAGTAACGATATACCGTGGGTTATCTAGTAAAAGGAGTCTACCCTTTCCTAATATGACCATAACTGTGGAAGCGAAATATTAATAGCTATTCAGCTTAGCCCTCTAAAAAGAAAACAAACTATTCTAAAATACTTATTTCAGACATTCTTGTAAACAGCTTTTGTGTGATGCTGCAGTTACTATGGCTACTTAACAAATTACCCCAAAACTTAGTAGTGTAAACCAACCATTATTAAGCTCATGAGTTCAATGGGTCGAGAATCTGGACAGGGCACAGCAAGGCTCGTGTACCTCCACTCCACAATGTCTGGGACTGAATCATCTGAAAGGTCATTCATTCACATGTCTGGTGGTTGATGCTGGTTGTCAGCTGGGGAGGCCTCAGTTTCTCCCCATGTGGGCCCCTCCATGTGCTTTTTGTATGTGGGCTAGTTTGAGCTCCCTCCCAGCATGGTGTCTAGGTTCTTAGGACTAGAGAACCAAGAAAGAAAGATAGGTGGAAGCTGTCTCATTTACTACCCAGCCTTGGAAGTCACACAGCATCCACTTCCACCAAGTTCCACTGGCCAGAGCAATCACAAGCCCTCACCAATATTCACGATGGGAGTGGGGGTGGGGGCACAGACTCACATCTGGGAGGGAGGAATGTATGTCACACTGTAAGAGTACGTGTGGGATGAGATGTGGTGTAGCCATCTCTGGGAGATTAAATCTGCCCGTGAGAAAAATCAAAGCATTGTTGCAGTTTATATGACTCTTTGGGAAGACAAAACAGAAATGTTTAGGGAAAACAGATAGGACAGGTCAGTAACAACTCAAAAACCATGCACAAAAAACAAACAAACAAAAACGGTAAACTTTATCCATACAAAGCCCACTCTGTTCCAGGAACAAAGAGAAACATTCAGACAGAACGTGAACATTCACACACTGCCCAGGAGTTTGAAGTGGCACTCGTCTCATCCTACGTGAAAGGAAAACCCACTAAGGGTTAGGGGTTCGGCTAAGTCAGTGGCCCAACATGAAAGGCAGGTGTTCTGGTGAAACTCCCCTTGGAGACAGCCTGCCACTGCCCCTTCCACAGACAGCCTACGCCCAGTCATTCTCAGCTCCGACTGTTCATTTCAGTGCCTTTGTTAAATATATCTACAATAAGCAGTTCCTTGTAGGGTTCTGCTGTTCTTTGGTACTGATTAATGCTTCTAAAGGATTGAAGCAATCTCTTTACAGTGTTTAAAAGCAAAGATCTTGAAGACTAAAAGTGCGCCTGACCCAAGTCATGGTGTTTTCAATAGCCTCATATGAAGGCGAAAGCTGGACGATGAATAAGGAAGACCAAAGAATTGACGCCTTTGAATTATGGTGTTGGCAAAGAATATTGAATATACCATGGACTGCCAAAAGAATGAGCAAATCTGTCTTGGAAGAAGTACAGCTACAATGCTCATTAGAAGCAAGGATGGCAAGACTATGTCTCACATACTTTGGACAAGTTATCAGGAGGGATCAGTCCCTGGAGAAGGACATCATGCTTGGTAAAGTACAGGATCAGTGAAAAAGAGGATGACCCTCAATGAGATGGATTGACACAGTGGCTACAACAATGGGCTCAAGGATAACAATGATTGTGAGGATCACATAGACCAGGCAGTGTTTCGTTCTGTTGTACACAGGGTCACTGTAAGTCTGAACCAACTCAATGGCACCTAACAACAAAGAATTGAAACAGAACCAGTGATTTAAGATCTAGTTGATATGAAAATAAAATATTAATTGATGAATACCCATTTAAAATCTAGTATGATCACCAGAAAAATCTGTTTATTTTGTAAAACAGGGAACACCAAGAGCAAAGGTTATGTCAGTGGAAAGAGTTTAATTTACCAGATTAAATTTTTTTTGACCCAAATTATTCATCCTTTAACAAACAACTACCACTTACATACACATACACATACACACATACACACACACACTTTTAAAAATACACCATATCATAATGCCTTGGGTCTTAAAAGCTTGCAAGCAGCCATTCAAGGTGCAATAATTGGTCTCTAGTCCACCTAGAGCCACAGAGGAAGGACAGTCAGGAATAGGAGGAGGAAATAGAATATGTGACTAATTGCCTGCATGAGCAACTGCCTCCTTTGCCATGAGACCAGAAGAACTGGATGGTGCCTGGCTACCATTATTGAACACTGATCAAAGATTCTACAGAAGAAACTTGATCAAAAGGGGGAAAATGCAGAACAGAATTTAAATTATCATGGACTCTAGACTTTCTAGAGCCACAAAGGCTAGGTGAACCCCAAAACTATTGCCCTAAAATAATCTTTAATCGTTAAATCAAAAATATCCCCTTAAGTCTTCTTAAAACCAAATAATAGTTTAGCTTAACTGGTAAAGAATGTTTGCCTTGAGCATTATGCTCTTTTAAGATCTATCTAGATGGGATCAAACTGACAACAGCAACTCAAAACATTAGATAGGAACCTTAGCGGGGAGTGAGTTTATGTTAATAGTGGAGGAACAACTCAGAAAAGGAAGGTGAGAATGGTTGCACAATTTGAGAATGTAATAAATGTCACTGAAATGTACACGTAGAAACTTGAATAAGTGGTTTTTTTGTTTTTGTTTTTTGCTAATTCAACATTTTTCAGGTGTATAATTTAGTGATATCAGTTACACTATCAGTTGGAGTTATTAAAAGCTACCACTTATTGAGTGCCATTTTATGCTGGCTACTATTCATGTGTCATGTTACCTTTTTTCATAATATTTTATTGTGTTTATGCTGAAGATTTACACAAAAGTTTAGGTTCCCATTCAATAATTTCTACACAAGTTGTTCACTGACATTGGCTACATTATACACAATGTGTGAACATTCTCATTATTTCTGTTCTGTTTGTTCCATTTCCATTAATCTAGTCTCCCTGCCCCCTGACATTCTTATCTTTGTTTTAAAGTAACTGTTGATGGTTTCTTCTCATGTAGGTGAGTGTGTGTTTTTGCTGTGCATAGTCTGAACAACAACAAATAAAAAAATAAAATAAATTATTTTAAAAATATACCATAACCAAAGGGGTTACTCCATGAAATACAAAGATGGTTCAATTTACCATATAAATAGAAATTTAAAAATCAGATATTGCCTCTATCATCACTGAAAAGACCTTCAACAAAATTCAACACCTATTCTTGGGTTATTTTTTAAGCACTCAAAATAGGAATTGATGGATGCTTTTTTAACATGATAAAACTATATAAACCTCAGTCCCAAAGCCAGCATCTTATTTTGTGGGGAAAGAACTATAGGCAGCCCCACTAAGGTCAAGAACAAGGCAAAGATACCTACTACCTCCACTACTCTTTAGCATTGAATCAGAAGTACAAGCCTAAGCAATCAGACAAGAAAACAATTAGAGCTGTAAAAACAATCAAACTATCTTTATTTGCAAGTGATATGGCATATACCTGGAAAACACAAAAGAAACAATGTTAAAAGCTGAAGCAACCAATAAAAGAATTTAGGACAGTAACAGGATACAAAATTAACGTAAAATAGTCATCATGTAAGTTTGACAACACACTCTGGGAATATGGAGAAACAGACATTGTCGTACATTGCTGGTGGGAATGCAGAATTATATACCATCTAGGGAAGGAAATTTGACAATATCTAACAAAATTACATATTCAATTGCCCTTTAACCCAGCAATCCCGTTTCTAGGAATCTATCCCACAGAAATATTAGCAAAACAATATTGTGCAAAGCACCCTAAATAGTAATTGATGGATAGTTTTTCAACATGATAAAAATACATTAACTGAGACCAGACCCTGTGAGAGAGTGCACTTCAGGCACTATTTGTAATAGAAAAAAACTGAAACACAACCCAAATATCCAGCAATCAAGGGCTGATTAAATAAACTAAGGTACAATGGAGCACTCTGCAGCTTTAAATGAGAAATGAAGAATATCTCTATACATTGTGTGAAGTGACCTCCAAGATATGTTTTTAGTTGAAAACACCGAAGTGGAAAATAGTGTACCATATTTTTACTCAAATAATGCACACCTTCTACGTTTGCTTGCCAACCACACCCTCCACCTCACAAAGTATTTTCGTAAGCATGCTATGCTAATTTATTTTTATAGCAACATGTAAAAAAAATTGGCATAGTGGCGCTTATGAAAATACTTCAAGGGAGGAGGGCACAGTTGGCAAACAAATGTAGAAAAGATGCATGTTATTTGCATAAAAATACGGTATATAGCATGCTATTGTTCATCTAAGAAAGGGAGAAAGGGACTAGGACAAATACTCATATACTAATCCATATGTATTATGTGTGTATGATTTTTACACGTGTATATGTATGCACGTATATGTGTGTATGTATGTATATATGCATAAAGATATGTAATTTTATTAATGAAAGGAAAAAACTTTCCATATATGGTTGTCTACAGCAGAAAGAGGAAACAAGGTAGACAGGGATAAAAGTTAGACTTCTATAAATAAACTTTGTTTTGCAGATTTGACTTTAAAAGCATGTAATATTTTACTTAATTATAGAGCAATTATACAGCCATGAACACAGAAGTCTTTGTGTGGCTCTATTATTAAGGCTAAGAATAATCTTGAATGGAAATAAGCACGTAGACCAACATGACAGTTCTTGGATCATTCTTCCCAAGAAAGAAGTCAAGGTGTGCTGGCTGTGAGGCCAGAGAAAGAGACTAAGTGCTGATTTAGAGACCACAGTGCATGACTTACCTCAACCTTGCTCTCAGGTTCATGGTCAGCAGCGGAGAAGTATACAACCTCTTGCACTTCATCTCTGGGCCGGGCTGAATTTTTCCCAAATACCACCAGACCGTCCTTAGCACGCGGCGGGAAGGCCACAAAACAGTAACTTGGAGGAGCTACAGCCATCCTGAAAAGAGAATGCCGGCAACAGAATGGAAGCAGGCCGAACATGGAACCCTTCCAACCGCAACTTCGTCAAACGTATTTCACCAGCTAAAATAGTTTTAGTATCGAATGGTGTAGAGCTAGCTCATTAAGAGATCCCAGCTGGCAGATGAAGGTGGGGCGCCTGAAGTCGAATTACAGAGCCACGGAGATCAGATACTGTTTAGGACTCGGTGGGATTAAATGAGCTCAGATTTGCAACAAACCCCAGTGGCAGCCAGAAGTGCAGTGATGTAGGACAGAGGGAAGAAGGTTATTGTTCCAGGCAGAAAACACACACTGCAATCTGTCACAGTAACAGAAAAATAAATATACCACATACAGCAGTGCACCATCCAGGGCCTCGGAACTAGAGACTCATGGCTGCCATGTAATGGATTTGGGGATGGTAATGGAGAAATAAGGAGCCCCGGGGGGCGCAATGGTTAAGCGCTTGGCTGCTAACCGAAAGGTCGGCAGTTCAAACCCATTAGCTGCTCTTCAGGAGAAAAGGAAACCCTATGAGCAGTTTTATTCGTGTGTGTGTGTGTGTGTGTGTGTGTGTGTGTGTGTGAAAGTTTACAGTTCAAGTTAATTTCTCATACAAAAATTTATACACATACTGTTTTGTGACATTAGTTGCAATCCCCACAATGTGACAACATACTCCCCCTTTCCACCCCGGGCTCCCTGTGTCCAGCTGACAAGGAATATAAAACAATAACACATGTGAGGGATATGCTTCTCAGTTCAGTCAGATACACCAGACCTAATGGGCAGCTCTTGTCCAAATGCAGGATGAGAGGGCAGGAAGCGACGGGAATTGAGTACTTGTATTCTGTCCTGTAGGGTCGCTATGAATTGCAATCAACTTGACAGCATACAACAACAGTGGGGAAACAGACCTAGAGATAAACTGAAAAATATCCCTTATTTAATATTTTTTACTCTACCTTAATGACCTAAGGAAACCCTGGTGCCATAGTGGTTAAGAGCTGCCTCTGTTAACCGAAAGGTTGGCAGTTCGAATCTACCAGGCACTCCTTGGAAACCCTATGGGGCAGTTCTAGTCCATCCTATAGGATCACTATCAGTCAGAACCTACTCAACAGCAGTGAGTTGGTTTTTTTTGTTTGTTGTTAATGACATAACAGTCAAGCACCCCTTGGTTTTCCTCCCACCTCTCTAGATGCTCCTGGGCTTGCTTGTTCTCTCCTACCTGACGATTAAGTGTCCTCACTGCTTGATTCTTCTTTCCTCATTTAATGCACCTTCTCTCTGGGAAGACTCCCTGGGTGGTGTAAACAGTTAACATGTTAGGCTGCTAACTGAAAGGTTGGAGGTTTGTATCCACTCAGCAGCGCCTCAGAAGAAAGATCTGCCAATCTACTTCTGAAAAATCAGCCATTAAAATCTCTTATGGAGCACAGTTCTACTCTGGCACACATGGGGCCACCATGAGTTGGAACTGACTCAGTGGCAACTGGTCTTTCTGGGAAAACTCATCCATGCCCAGAGTTTCCCTCGTCATTTACGTGCTAATGAATGACCTACTCATTTAATTCCTGCCCAGTTCCCTCCCTGAGCTAGTAACCAATAGACCAAACTGCCTACCTGACATCCAAAGCTGATTTCATCATCTTCCTCCCCAAACTGGTTTCCTTTCCAAAGCTCCCTATTTCAGGAACCATCCTTACCATCTGCTCCTCCATCACCTAACCTGTCATTCAGTCCTGCAGATTTGACCTCCTGTTTCTTTATCCATTCTTCTTCACCTCCAATGCCACCAACCTGGACCAAGCCACCATCATCTCTAGCCAGGACCTCTGCAGTAGTCTCCTCTGAGGTCACCCTACAACGTCTACTATTCCCACTCCAAAACATTCTCCATGTTGCAGCCAAAGTGATCTTTTTTAAAGGGAGATATGATTGTGTCATCCCCTGCTTAAAATTCTGCAGAAGTTTCCCACTGCTCTTACAATAAAGACCAAAATCTATAACCCGGCCCATGTGACTGTGTGAATAAGCTTGTGCCACCCACCCAGCCTCATCTCTCACCACTTATTATCCCATCTCTCAACTCCAGCATGCAGGCCTGTTTCTAGTTCCTGCAATACTTCCAGGGCCTTTGTCAATGCTGCACACTCTTCCCTGAGCACTCCTTTCCCCAACTCCCTACACCAAAACCAACAGCCTAGTTAACTCCTGCTCCTTCACATGTCAGCTGAAATGCTGCCCTCATTTATGTCCTCTACTATACACTCCCACAGTGTCCTGTCCTTTTCCTTTACAGTAACAATCACAAGCTGAAATATTTGTGTAATTACTACCAACAATCAATACTTAGTCTCTCCCCCACCCCAAACTCTAAGCAATATGAAGACAGGAACCATGTCTCTTTTGCACACCACTATAAAAATGCAGCTCTACACAATGTCCTATGCAGAACAGATTTTCAATAAATAATGAACTAATAATGCTCTTTTCTTGTTTCTTAATACTCCACCAAGCTGACACTGACTCTCTGCTACTCTCTTTTCTCACCACCATGCCTCTCTCTGCCTCTGGCTAGAATGCCCTTCCTTTAGTCCAGGGCTTTGAACCAGTTCATTCCAGGTCAAACCCTGCTGCGAATTTGCGTTTCCACCCCCAGATATACTGAATCAGAATCTACATTTTAATAAGATCTCCAGGTGATTCTTATGTATACATAAGAATCTTGTTAAAATGCAGATTCTGATTCAGTATATCTGGGGGTGGAAATTCAAATTCTCAGCAGGGGTTCAAACCCAAATGAACCAGTCAGAAGCCCTGTTTTAAGTCTTTGTGCTTATCCTTCAGGATCTTTCAGGAAGATTTCTATAAAGAACTTAGTCATTTATTCAGCATCCATAAGCACTAATTCACCCAATTTGTGCTAGGTTAATTTAATGTGCATTCATTGTTTGTAAAGGTACTTTTTCAGCTATTTCAAAGAAAGCTCCCTGAGGGTAGGAGCCAAGCCACTCAATTACAGTAGGTTCTTCCCCAACCCCCTGCATTATAAGCACTCAACAAACACTATCTGTTGAACCAACTATTGTATTTGTTATCAACTATCCAACTTAAATGTGTTTTATTTTCTGAGTAAAGCAATATTCTCAAAAGAGCATTAGGCTGGGATTCAAAACCCAGCCTTACCACCTACTAGCTGTTTGAACTTGGGCTAGTCACTTTCCCTCTCTCAACCTAGGTTTCCTCTTCTGCAAATGTTTTTCCCCAGCCCACAGATTTATCATGAGGATCAAGTAAGATGGTGCTTGAGAACACATTTTGCAAATTATGGAGGCTACAGAAGCATAGGATACTTTATTTGGGTTTTGACTGTTAAAACAGAGTAGCATCTCAATTCCTGTTGAGCAAGCCAATCAAAACCAACCTACTCGTTCATAATTGGATCGGTTGTCAAATCGCTGAATCAGCAATACTGTATGTTTAGAAAAGTTTTTGTGAGGGACCATCTCGCTATTCGACATCCAGGCTACTTCAGGTCAGTCTGTGATACACAGCTGGGTGCTTAGAGTTCTTCTCTGCTATGCTCATGGTAGGCCCCTCCCCAGAGTGCAGGGAAGTGGGGAGCCCCCACAACTCTGAAAATAATTCCCTCCTTGCTCAGTAAAATATCCCCCACCCTTCTGTGAGAAAGAATAGCCAGGAAGATAAAGTGATGCCAGTCATTCTTCCCCTAAACCTCTCTCATTTTCACAAAAACTGCATTATCTTCAGACTTAAGGACAGAAAAAGAAATAAAGACATGCAGAATCTGTATGTGCAAAAAGACCTACAATAATTACAAGATACAGTGCCTTTATATAGGGTTCTTGAAGTCCTGGGGTGGTGCAAATGGTTAAATGCTCAGCTGCTAACCGAAAGGTTGGAAGTTGAAATCCACCCACAGGTTCCTAAGAAGAAAAGCCTGTTGATTTACTTCTGAAAAATCAGCCACTGAAAACCAAATGTAGTAGAGTTCTACTCTGATACAAGTGGGGTCACCATGAGCCAGAAAACTCGACAGCAACTGGTTTTTTTATATAGGATTCTTAGAATTTTGGAGAAGAAGGAATTGCTGGCTGAAGCAAATAAAGCCAAACAGATCCAGAAGGAGATAAGACGGGAAAGGATGCATTTACCTTTGCTTGTATGTCTCTCATATGTAATGAGACTTCTCTTCCTCCCCTATCCTGGAGCCACTGCAGAAGTGCCAGCATCTCATCTCTGAGCAGAACCCTACTTTTATTTGAACCTTAAAAATGGTAGGAATCCATAGGTCTTGCATTTACAATCTATATCTATAGAGAATAAAAATAAAACCCACAGAGGCTCTTTGACAAGCACCTATTTTTCAGCCAGGATATCCACTTAGTCAGCAAGTCGTCTGGGTCACTTGACCATGAGGGAGATGTAGGCAGCAGAGGATGTAAGCCCATCTAGACATCTTTTCAAAGAAGCTGGCTATGTCAGGGAGTAGAAAAGGGGATTGCATTGACAAGTAACTCCAATTTTACATATCTACCTAAAAAAATGATCAGACATGTGAACAGGGATTTATGCACAAGTTTATCACAGAGTCATTTATACAGGTGAAAATCAGACCCAAACCTAACTGTCCAGCATCAACGAAATGACTAATAACATATGTTTATATCCACTGATGATGACCACTATAAGACCACTAAAAATCTATTTGTAGAGAAATACTTATGATTTTCAGGGGGAAAAAGAATGTTCCAAAACATCTTAATTATGTAAAGATATGCATTGAAAAAGACTGGAAGGAAATGTACCCAGAATATTAAATGGTAACATTAATCTGCTTCTTCATATTTGGAATTTTTCACATTTGAATTTTTCAGCTCTCACTTTTTTCCCATTAAATTGCTTTTTTTAATTTTTGCTTTTTCATATTTTCCTTTAACTTCTAGTGTTCCCATAGTATTTATACTT